TGTGTGTGTGTGTGTGTGTGTGTGTGTGTGTGTGTGTGTGTAGGCTTTTAAATGCACATGAATGTAAGACACTGAACAGCAGTAAATAATAATTCTGCTTTGAAAATATTGCCTACTTTCAGATGAATTAAACTCTACAGTATTTCAGCCCAGACGTGTCCACAGTCAGTCAGAGACCATTTAAGACATCTCAGATGAAGAGTGGGAAAAAGATAGCAAACAACATTTCATCCAAATCTTCAAAAAACCTTTAAATTATCTACAGAGAGGAGAAGTTTGTTTTTTTCTTTCCCAGAGCTTTGGAATTTCTCATGGTTCACATTATGGAATGAACAGTGCAATAAAACAATGAAGAACTGCCCGTTCTTTCTTTGTTTTGTGTCTTTGTTTCCTCTTCTTTGCTTTGTCGTCTTTTTCTAGTGGTTAAATTGTAGGTAATGACATCATTATAGCAGACGCAGCAACTAGGTCTCTCTTTTTTAAAATCTTGTTTCTTAATGATGGGGCCACTTCTTCATGGTGCTACGTTTGCATCGTGTCCATCAAGCATATATGCTTTTACCTGATGGTATACAGTAGTTTTGTTCTGCATTGTTTTTCATCCCACTCAGTTCGAGTCTGATATGAGAAGCAATGTGGCAGAAAGAATGATGATGATGATCTGAAGTTTCCCTCTGATGTTGGTATTAAGGCAAAGGTAAGGCAACAAAAACAGCTGCTGGTGCTCAAAGAGGAATCAGAGCTCAAGTCCACTTCTGATTTTTGGTCTGATCCTCAAAGGTTTGTGGTAACAGGGCTGTGGCCCTGACAATACGCACACACACAAGGTTCAATGTCAGTAAGAAGACATGAGAAGACTATTGAAATCAACTTGTATTGCTCTTTGGTGAGGTTTCAGAAGGTTACTCAGCTGCAGGTAGTGCTGCTGGCTTCAGCTGAGTGGTTGAGGTGCTCAAAACGGCGGGTCTGTAGAGGTTCAGCATTGTGTCTCAGTTGGCCTGCGTATGTGTGAAGAAGGTCGGGGCTCAGTGGCTTTGAAAATGTGTCCCCTTCATGTTCATATGACAACACGGGAGATCTGAGGCTTCTGAACGTTCTGCGAGGTGATTGGTTGGGTTTTCCTACATGGAGTCGCTGTCATGTTCCATTGGCTCATCAGGGAGGCTGGAGGGAAGTGTGAAAAGCACATGTGAGCAGAGACCTGGGAGAGTTTGCATCGATATAAAGGATGGAGGTGGGATTTTTGACTGTGTGTGTTTGTATCCATGCACTGTACCTCTTGCTTGAAAGAACTCCAACAGAGAGCGAGGCCAAAGCCTTGACAGCATCCGTTTCCTCACAGTCTCTGCTCTGAGCAGCCATGTATGACAGACCCACTGATCCACTGTAGGCCTTCACACTCTGCCAGTACTGACCTGCAAACACACAAGACGTAACAAAAATGTCAAGCGAATTTCAACGATGTAGTTTTGACATCATATCCACTGGTTAAGTGTTGATTACAACTGAAATAAAAATGCAGAGAAGAAGATGAAACATAAGCGCTGCTCACTTTGTATCTGTATGACAGTTTGTAGGGAGCGGACTGCGTTAGCGTTGGGCTTCTGGAGGAGGACGTCTTCCGGCAGCGGTTCCTACAGGACAAACACACAACAAAACACCATCTTTAGAACCAAAATGGCTACGACAGTATCATTTAATTTCTACAAATTAAAAAGACATTATTTATTTTTCATTTGAAGCTTACACATGCACAAACTGGTTAAACAGAATGTTTCATTAGCCTGCCTGTTTTGCAAGACCTTTAAAAATAGTCTTAACATCCTGACAATAAACCAGAATTCAGCTGACCCTGGAAAGAATTTCAGCACTGATCATCTGCTGGTAAAGTAGGACTGTGATCAATTCTGTCAAAACTTGGCACTATGTTTATTGAAATGGAAGCACCACTTCAGTGAGCACATTGTGGTAGCTGATCCATGATGTGACGAGTGACACTTGTACAAAATGAAAGAATAACGAACTCCGAGATACACTGTCCCTACCAAGTCCCTCTAACTAGTAAAAATGGGACACTGTGCTCCAGCTAACTGTAAAAAAAACAAACAAACACTAGTAAAGAACTCCATTAGTCATACCTGTATGCCCAAGAGTGAACTGACACAGGCTTCAGATGCGTCACAGATTGCTGTGAGGTCGTGACCTCCCTCAAGGGCCAAAACCAGACGGCCTCCTGCTAGAGACATCAGCTGACGGGTCAGGAAACCAAAACCTGCGGCGAACACAAACACGCACACAGAGTTGTTAATATTAAATGACAACAAAGCTTGGCAGGTGAACTGTTGCAATTTCCAATAGTCTCCAAAAACAAATGCATATTTTCATCCGTAGATCCTCCCACAGCAACATACCAATTACTAATTACTGTAATTATGGTAATATCAGCAGTGAAGCAAGACACAGTAGAAGGAACTTGAATCCTGCTCTTTTGTTCATGCTAAACATGAGCTTCAAGAAACTCTAATATCTTGAGACACCCAGGGTCTTAACAGAAAGTTTCACTGTCTCCTGCTACAAATAAGACAAAAGTTAAGGCCAAGTGCAGTCTGCGGTGGGAAACTGTTCTTACATTTGGCCGAGACCTTGTAGCCTCCTAGAGGAGCGGGGTTTCCCTCGGCGGCGTCAAACCCGGCTGACACCAGAACTACATCCGGAGAGAACTCCTGAGCGATCGGCATCACCACAGACCTGTATGAACACACAGAGCTCATAATGACTTCAAGGGACTGGGAAGGGATGGTTGTAGGGGACTCTGCTGGTTTCCAATACAGTCTTCAAAGGAGTGTGTAATTTTACTCAAATATCTTGTGTGTTTTGTACTTTTGTGTCATTTTCCTGGCTATAACATGTGCCTACAGTTGTTAGAAACACATTGCTGTCGAGGAATAGGACAATAAATTCTGATGTGCACATTTGAGCCTTAATTATAAAGTTCAACAGGAAACTGAGTCACTGATTGATTTGAAAAATCAACACCATTGACAAAATTAACACAAAATGAACGTGAAAAACAAAACAAAACAAAACGATATATTGACATCACCACTGAAACATCGTGGGGGAAGTTAAGTTGCACTAACAGGACACAAAGTGATGAAAAGCAAAGAAGAACCAGCTGTAGTCTCCATCTCTGTTGATTCAATGTTTAAATAAACTGCTGACAGAAGCACTTCGGTGTGGATTCATTTCATTAGGGTGCTTATGAAGACCGGCCCTAGCATTCAGTGAAATATAGCCGTTTTCAAACACAACTGGGCATGTCCAAACTGGACACAAGACAAATATTTACCATTAAATCTAAAGAAGTCATTAACATGACAAGTGAAACGACGTACTGGCTGATCCCAGACTCAGCAGCCCAAGCACAGCTGACAAAGAACTATTGTTTCCTCTGTGGGAGAAGCCGCAGAGCTCGAGGAACACAAGCCAGCTCAACAAAGTCATATTGTTGTTTTGTCAGCTCTTATACTCGCTAACTTCTTTGTGGATTTCCAATAGATGAAATTGTCCTTCATGCTCTTGTTGTTAGGGAAGAAAGTAGTACTGTCCGGAGACGGGGAGAAGCTCGACTCGATGCTGTCGGCGAGAAGTTCAAAGCTGCAGCGTGCGAGTCTGTTTCCCATTAGAGGCTTGTCACTCTCCTCACGTCATTGACAACACAGGGAAAAAGAGGAAAAACAGTCCATCTGGGATCCATTTACCTTCATTATTCTGCCTGGGGACTTTGGAGACCTCCCCTCCTTCCCCCTTCAAGCACACACACACACACAGACACAGAGGCGCACATATCCAAACGCATACTGCTGACATGACTGCGTGCAGATGGACAACATGAGCTCATAGAGAGAAATAAGGTCGCCGAGATAAAACAAACACATTCCAAAATGAGCGTGCACGTGCAAACGCACATCAGCGGTGCTTTGATTCGTCCAAAAATTGTAATTCATAAAGCAGGCCTCAGCTTTATCACACCGATGCAGATATGAATCAAAAGCGTGCGCACACTCCTCACTCATCCCCACACGCCTGACCGCAAAACCCAACCCCACCTCCCCTGTAGAGCCATTAAAGTTGCCATGGTCCCCCTAGAGAGAGAGACTGCAGACAAACTAATGGAAAGATGGAAGAAAGGAGGGGAGGGCAGGATTGGGGAGAGGAGGGGACGGTTATTAAAGATCAATCAAGGGAGGACAGGAAGAGGGCGAGAATGTGTGCTGGGTGGTGGTGGGTGAGGGTTGGGGTGATGGAAAACTTAAGGGTGGGGAGGGTGAGTGAGGGATAAGGTGAAAATACAACAAAGCTCCCCCTCTGCAGCTAAGCGCTTGCAAACTTAACTCATAAAATGGATTCTATTAAACAGCGCCGGCACTTTGTGTTTTTCCACAAACCCTTCGATGCTTTCAAAAAAAGCTTTATTAATTACAAAGCGCATTCATAGCGCTTTAAATGCTGGGTGGCTGAGTGGTGAGGGAGTTGGGGTTTTTAAAAAGTTTTTCAGGCAAAGCACCTCCCCATTAGGGCTTAAACAGGGATTATGTTGACCTACAGGCTAATCATAATAGAATTATAAACATTTGCTTTCAAAATAGCTAAAAAAATACTTCCAGCTAATCCTCATCAGGAAATCCAGCACAGTTATTTATTTATTCTGAACACTGTCAGAAAAATGAGCTCACGGCAACATTTAAGACGTGCAGGCTGATTCGATTAGCCTGACGTTCTAAATAAAGATCTACTTTTTTCACAACAAGAATAATTCAAATATGTAGTAAATCTACAGTGGTGTTGAATGGGTGGGTCTCAAAATCGGTGCACCATACTTCACTGCACGTGGAAGAAATGTGAGTTTCTGAAGTTTTGCAACTTATATACGAAAAGCTCACATATTAGCATCAGTATTATTTTGAATAACTGAGAAGGCAATTATCTGAGAAAGCTTTGATGTCGTGATCTTTTGTCCTCATGGGGCTCCAGGCAGAGTGAAAAACAGAAAATTACTTAGAAGTTCTATTAGGTCCAGATCTGTGTTATGTACTAAAGATGATACTCTGAAGCAATTTCACTGTGTCCACTGCAGAGGAGTCAGCGCGCTCCTCTCAAGTAAGATCTGATTACTTTAGAGACCCTTTCAACTTAATTTTGTTAGTGATCATATTTTTTTTAAAGAACTAAGTCTGTATTAAATCGGAAAAAAAGAGATCAGTATTTTATCATGTTACTCTAGAAGGTACAAACATCCCAGATAATCAAAAGCGTCCTGAATGTTAGGGACGGTATTAAAGCACTGAAGTCAAGGGACCAAACCTCAATACAAATGATCAGAAAATAGATCCACCGGCTTTAAAGGGAACAAATTTCAAACTGAACTTACAGTAATGTTTGTCTTCACACTCGACACAGAAGTATTTTTGTCACCATATGCCCTTGGAATATAAGACATGCTCTGACTATCAATGTACGGATAAACCCAAAAATCCAAATAAAACTAAGAGCCAGTCCTAAAACAAGCGCTTTTAGAAATGCTCTAGAACTAAAGGAGCACTGCATAAATAAAACTCACACAGAGTGAGCTTGTGTATTATGGGGAGTAAACAGTCAGAACTAAATATTTTGGCAGATCACTGTTGACGGCGCACGGCTATTTTGTCATTTCCTGAGTTTCCGGATTATGACCGATCCACCTGATACGTACTTGAATATGTTTGATCTTACGTGTTTGGGTTTAAACATTTGTGGACATGCATATATGCAGAGTTCCCCCACTTATGTCTTTGAGCTCACCACTGTGCCTCTTTTCCAGTAACCACATGGTTGCCAGTGTTTCCTTGGGGCTTGGAAGCACCAGACAACCAAAGAGCCCACAAGACTGAAACTTTATTGGTGCTAAACTCCCACCGATGACAATTATCCAACCCACCAGCAGGAAGTAACGGTTTGCAATCTGTCAAACACAAGACCTGGAGACCATTTACTGTAAACCATCTGAAGTTATTGGAAACAGGGAGGGCTAGACACATGCTCTCCAAATGACAAGGATTATTAATTACGCAAGAAGTACGTCAGAGGTAGCGGGGAGCTGAGTCTCTGATCGACTTCAGTGTTTCAGTTGTGGCCCAGTTTAGAGGAAATGGGAGAAATCTACTGATTACACTTGTGCTAAATGACACTGTCCTTATCAATCAAAACTACTGTCGTACAGGAAAAGAGAAAATACCTATAAATGTTCATTCTTTCTACACTTTGATATATTTCTAGTCTCCATGAAAAAGCTAACGAATAAAGAACTCTGTGTAATAAAGCATGGCGAACGCAGATATTTCCATGGATGGCGCAAGAGGCCAATGGAAAGTAATGATGTGAATCATGTATCTTATTCAACAAGGCAACCTTCATTCAACCCAACTGAACATTTAAGAGAAATATTTCAGGGAGGTTTCCATCACTATATTTTAATTTGTCACCCATTTAGCTGCACTGTGCTGTAAACGCAGCCAGAGTTGGCTCTACCTGAATGCAGCGAGGTATTCAGCATCTCCCATGGGTGGGTCCAGTCCTCCTGTCCACGCCACATTCACATTAAAGCCCTCACCAGCTCCAGATCCAACCTAAACGCCAAATAACAAAGACAATTGATGTCATTCTTCTCTGATAGCATTACTCTCTCAAAAGCAAAGCAAACAGTCCTGGATGTCACCTACCTCAGCGGGAGACCCACTGCCGGGGAAGAAGTTTCCGTCGTCATAACGATGAAGTGAGATGTAGAGAACACTGGGGTCGTTGTAAAACACTTCCTCCGTGCCATTACCATGGTGAACGTCCTAGCCATGGCGATGAGGAGAGATTACTTTAGCACAATAGTTGCCACAGTCATGTTCTAAGGGGATGGGTATCACACAGTAAAATAAGGCCACAGTTAACAGGAAGTCTTACCCAGTCGACAATGAGGATCTTGCTGACGCTGAGCTTGTGTTGGAGCTGTTTAGCAGCTATAGCTACAGAATTGAAGTAACAGAAACCCCTGAAAGACAGAGACAGAGCCAATGTTTAAAGACAAAGAATATAAAGACTTTAATCTTTAACTGACAAAAAAGTAAAGGTAATTGGTTAATGAAAAGACCTGTGTGATTTTGACTTTTGCCATTTCCTTATTCTTGGTTTCAGAGACATGCAAGGTGTTCAGTACTAATACAAATGTTTAAAAGAAGGTATCCGACTGGTCTCCAAATCATTCTGAACCATGAAAATTGTCCCTAGCATACAATCAGACAAACTATATTTACTCTTTAACAGGGTAAAGAGTCCTGCAAACGTTATTGATGCACAAATATTGCTTAAAAAATTAAATTAAAAAACGAAAAGAACATCATGTAAACAAACCCCCACCACAAAAATATTATATTCTGTCAGTTTTTTTTCTCTTTCACAATCATCCACAGAGGACGTGCTGACAGCGCAGTAAGAACAGGAAAACCAACTATGACTCACACACAAACACACACTTACATGGGATTGGAGGGGTCTGCATGATGCCCTGGTGGTCTGACAACAGCAAAGCCATTCTGCAAAGAAGAGATAGATGCCACTAATTAGCATTGTGACATGGTAAACTTTAACAGAGCTGTTCAGAACCTACGATCTTTGGCACACACGACTAAAGACTCACGCGTGCCCAAAAAGGTACAAAAACCCTGCTAGGCTCAAGCTAACTGACAGAGGTCACGTAAGGAAGGATGGTTTACATCAGTGCTCTTTGCATTTATAGGAGTGAAGTAGCTTTCTGATTTCTTAATAGATCATTTTTAATCCCAACAAATGTTATAACTTTGGCAGTTTGTACTATTTAAGTGTAACATCTAGCTTTGTTAGCTAGCTCTACTATACCAGTGTAATACACTGATGCGGTATATTAGAACATAAGCACAGGTGCAGGCATAAGAACAACATTATTATATTAATACTAATTATGTGTGTAAAGCGCATGCATAATATGCACTGAATGTAGCATGCACAGTTTATGGAGCTGAACGCCAGGATGCTGCTTTACTGTTTTTAACACTGTACTTGACCTGCTCGTTTCACACATTTGTTTCATGCTCGTTTGGTTGGGTTTTTAACAAAAAACCTTTTAGGTCAACCTGCTATTTCATCTTTTTTTATTAAACCAATCATGTTTTTACAACAAAAAAAGTCTTTCATCCCAAATTTTGAGTGCAACGAGGAAAAGAAAGACAATTAAGGCCATAATATAACAGAAAAGCCCTTTTTTGAAACCCATCACCTTTGAAGTGGCTTCTGCTGAGAAACGCTTCTCTGCTCAGTTCTAGTCTACTAGTTTACTCGTAGAAACAAAGCACTGCCATGGTGGATATAACCTCCTCAAAAACAAGTTAGAGTTTCTCTAATTTGTTTTTGCCCACAGCTCAGAGCCTGAGGAGCATTAAATAAGTCATAAATACACTTACTGTACTACATGTTTTTAAAATACTGTTTCTCAGAAGGTGCTATGCAGTTTTTGGTGAAGCAGTTGTTCAACTTACTGACATCATGACAGCTACACATTACATCATATTATAGCTGCTTAGAAACGTCAACTTTATTGATCGTTACCACCGACAGTTAACGTTGAATGCCAACTTTAAACTCGGTCCATTCAGTAGCTCAGTGGTTCCAAATAAAGTGCTTTACTGCAATTGCCGCAGGTGACATGTCGGAAACTACTAGTTTCCGACATGTAGTTTTGTTCGCAAAACTACATGTCTGAAACTAGCCTGTCCATCTGTGGTCTGTCTCTTTCACACAGCGTTAGAGTTTTGAGTCTCACCTTTAGTTCTCCTTTGGCCACTCTGAACGCCAGCTCCACGACACTTCCTGCTGCCAGACGTGACGCCGTGGAGGTGTGCGACTCATTCCAAATGGTGTCATTATCAACCTGCCGATCCAAAAATACAAATGATCAGTATGCATTGAAGGAAGCATTAAAAACTACACAGTTTATGTCGCTGCTGCTGAAATAATCTCATTTTTTAAACCAGAATCTCCTGCACTAATGTGACTCGAGAGTAAACATGTCACTTTTCTCTCCCATGTTAACACAGATCTATATTTACAAGTCATTTTTCTTTCCATTGGCTTTTTTCTCTCTCCTCTGTTTGTTCGCAACCTGGCATAACTGCATTTGGCTCAGACGATGAAATCTAAGGCATTCCTTTCATCCCGGGTCCTGGACATGTTGTTCTCATTAGTCTGAGTTGTCATGGTTCGACTTGGACTGTCAGGCAAATGTTAGCGCAGGGCTGAGCCAGGTCTCTTTTCCACTCCAATATATTCTCTTTATTTCTGTCTGTTTTGTAATATTCGTGTCTTTGCTGCTTTTCTTTGAAACAGTGTTGACTTTCATTATTTCAGCGATTGTGGCATTTTCTACGGCATTCATTAAGTCTTGGTGTGTATTGTTGGTTTTTCTTACCCCTACACCGCCACATGGTAACATCACAAACATCCTTTGAGACAGGATCCCTGAAAATCAAAGAGAAATATACATTTTTATTGTGCATTCATACATTTATTAGAAGTAATTGTTTTGTTTTTTAAGCTTGTATAATCCTTTTATGTCATGAGGAATCAGGCATATTGTGATTAAGCTATCATAATGCCATAAATGTCATTTTTGTGTATAAGACAGCATACACAAATACACGCTTCCAAAACACATTTATTTCATATAAATATTTAAAGAGAAGTGCAGAGTGTTTGTCTCCCCCATCTGGCAGTGAGAATAACTGCAGAACTGAAAACTTGTTTTTGATGATAAACTGTTTTTGTCCCTGCCATTAGATTTTTAACAGTTTAATCCCTCAAAAGATTTAAACTAATACTGAATACATGCCTGATCTTCATTTAATATTCTTAATTTCTTTAGAATCTTTCCACCATTTTTCCACTGCTGATGCCTCCAAGCAGCTCCTAACAAACTCTGTCTTCACTGCTATTGTTGATCATCTCTCTTCAGCTCTGTCAAACCAGCCTTTACTGGTTTGAATAAAATTAATCCATTTTGTCATCACTCGATTTAAAACCCAAGTACGCTGCCAAATACAGAGAGATCTGACTGGTTCTGATAGGCATAATCAGCACTGCATGAACTCATTTGGCAGGGCTTGAATTCAAAGGACGTTTTGTGGATAAAAGTATAATTTCTTTCACTCTAAAACCCTTGAAATTACTCTTTGATGATTCTAAACACAATCAATATGAGGTGAAGCGTACCAGCCAGTTTGCGGTTATCCAGTTTGAGCCTGTTGAGCGGGTTGGTGCCATATAGCAACACGTGACGCTCCGTGTGGACGGACTGCAGCTCCTCCAGAGTGGCTTTACGGCCGCGGATACTCTGCAAGACGAAAGAAGTTAATATCTTATTAATAACAATAATGATACCTGACTAACCATATCCTGTGTGTGTGTGTGTGTGTGTGTGTGTGTGTGTGTGTGTGTGTGTGTGTGTGTGTGTGTGTGTGTGTGTGTGTGTGTCCGTCCTGTGTCATACCTCGCACTGTCCCTTCAGGCCTCTCTCCTGTAGTCGGGACCAGATGCTCTGTATCCTCCCAGCATGCTCTGGGTGACTGCTGTTATCTCCACAGGTACACTGGTGTTTCAGCATTTGAGAGTCATAGACGAGGCCTGTGTACAAAAAAAGGATTTATAACAACATGTTAGTCGAGATGGCCATTTTGATAAGAACTGCCACCAGTAATCACATAAAAACACCCACTGTTGCAGATTACCCACTATTAACTGAGCATGCTCCTCACTTATGATTTTTGTCAACATATCAATATAAAGATACATTTAATAATACACAACTAACTCTCGTGAGTAGACCAACTATTACAGCACATAATTTGTGAAACCATCTGGAAAAACCCTGTCAACTGTTTGATAGATCTGACATGTTATACAGCCCCAGCCTAAAAATAATAAAAATTTGTACACAGAAGGTGCGATATGCATTAGAATACTGTGTGACTCACCAGTGGTGAAGCGTGGCTTGCTGCTGGTGTCTTGTGCAGGCAGACTGAGGGTTTTCTCTGGCAGAGTGAGAGAGGTGGAGGCTGGGGAAGACTGCGTACGGAACACGGGGCGATGGACGCCCAAGCCACCAACAGCCCCGCCGCCTCCACGCAACACAGGTACTGCCAGGGTCTCCATTTGTCGGTGGAGCTGCTGCAGCTGCTTCTGCTGTTCCCATAGCAACGACTAGTGGGAGAAATTGATAGGGAACATAGATAAATCAGATATACAGTCTATAGTTATCAATAATAAAAGAATAAAAAGGAGAAAAGGTTAAATTACACAAAGAAAAATGTTCAGTTGCTACTAATATGAAATATGCAGATGCCAGTGTTAGGCTGCCATCTACAGGACTGGATGATGAAGAAAAAATTTCCACAGTTGTGTTTTACCCAACTACCTGTTTGTGTTTGTACAAGAGTGTGTTTGTGTTTGAAGGTAGTCTATGTTTCCAAACCTGATTAAGTATGAGGGCATGCTGCAGGTTCATCTGCTCCTCTTGTGTCTTGGATGCTGATGGCTCCACTTCCCTCAGCGACTCTGACCGCCCTCTGCTGTGATAGGCTGGCTCCGTGGGTGACGTCCCGCCACCGTCCTCTGAGTCCATATCCTCAGAAGGTATCTGATGCAATCTGGGCTTCTCACTGGACTTGGACATCAGCTGTACATGGACATACACACGTTAAAGATGGATTTAAAAGTAAAAAATGTTTGTGAATCTGTGTTCAGTTCACTTTAATCCATTAAAAAGAGAAAAAAAAAAAAAAAAAAAGAACGGCTCAGAATGGCTGATGTCGGAGGTAAAGTGAATTTAACGAGTGAAGGGCAATGAGCTGGGACATGAGGCTTAATAAAACAATCTCAAGAAAGGCTCAGCCTCCCCCACACCCCCCTTAATGACAAACCTGGGTGTACCTTTAATCATGTTTAAAAGGTTACAGGCAGCCAGTTTTATCAGTCTTGATGCAAATGTGGCAAAGAGGAGATCATGTATGATCTCAAACAGCACTGAAAGGTGCACATGTATTCCTACCTTGCCCAGGTGTGTCTGCTGTTTGAGCCTCTCCAGTAGTTGTGTGTTGTGCTGTTGTTGTAGGAGATGTGTGTGAAGCGCGTGGGGACTCTGAGGAAGGGGTTCTGAGCGTGCTCTGCTCAGGGGCTTGTGTGATTGAGCACCTCCAGCAGACAGGTGGTCCAACGGCTGCGCAAACTGAAGCGGAACGGAGTCTAGGCCTTGAACTGCCAAGAGACAGGGTGATAAAGAGGAAATCAAATCAAATCAAATCACTTTTATTGTCACATCACATGTGCAGGTACATTGGTACAGTACATGTGAGTGAAATTCTTGTGTGCGAGCTTCACAAGCAACAGAGTTGTGCAAAATACAATAATGTAAACAAGCAAAATACAATAATGTAAACAAGCAAAATACAAGAATGGCTACATCTGAAACTAATAAATATATGTACAATTCACTTGCGTGAAAGCAAAGACATACGTTCAAACAAAATGAAAAGAAAGAAAAGTTACTGAAATGAAGCACACAAAAAAGGTGAGAGATTAAAAATAGTCTGAAAGTGGTAGCCGCCGAGTTTACTCGTCTGAAAGTCAACAAAAGTGCATTCCCAATGTAACCACCAGGTGGTGCTGTAACATTTCATTCACTAAAACTAATAACAGGGTTACACAACTGTCAATACCATGGATGTGCATATTTTGCAGCGTTGTGCTTCTGTTTTAATGCTAATTAAGTTTTGCAAATAAATCACACATAACATTAAAATGAAAACTTTTCAACTGTGAACTGCAGAGCTTTTGCCTCAACACTGTGGATGAGTGCAGAGTCTCACCGGTGAGTAGCGGAGTGCGGACCAGTCCAGATGGCTCCAGGATGATGACAGGTAGGTGTGGGTTCATCTGCCCTGCCTGATCTTCTCTGCTGAGGGGGAGGAACACTGAAGAGCCGCCGGCAGTGACCACCGGTACTCGGCTGACCTTCAGCGAGGACAGCTCTCCTTCAGTCTGCACACACAGTTGAAAAGAACTTTGTAGTCACAGCAAACACACTAGTTTACGTTCAACATGGATGAATTCACAGGACAACAAATAACAACACACATTTCGTTGTGACAAACATTTCTGTGGTGATCAGTTCTGACGACACTGATGTAAAGCGGAAGTGACATAACCGCCTAAAGTGTCTTTTAATTTCATCACGCTGTAATGTCAGAAAGCCAGAGTTTCAGGTCATAGTGAAACAGCAACTCCTGAGAATCAAGCTTCCTTTAATTGACTTACTTCCTTTGTAAAACAGGATATGTGAAACAGAGATGATTTCATTCACTTCAGAGAGATTTTGAAGTCACTGTGATGTGACTTAGGTTAATTGTAACACTACAGACTGCACTGCACAGTCATCTCAACACTCAGATTTGAGTCTAGATAATTTAATATAACACAAATTTAATAGTGCAAACCTCCACCAAATCAGCTCACTCTCTGCGCAGCCTTTACTTTCAAGGACACAGTGAAGTATTTTGTATATATCCGTTTTGTTTTCTTTGTTCTTTTTACATTCAGAAGTTTGGAGTGCCATAAGAACAAATACAAAGTACAGGCTTTTGTTATTTGCCTTGCTGAAACCCTTTTTAATATACGGTTTATAATATATTGGGATATAGTAAATATATAGCATTCATTTTACTGTTAAGTTTTTTTTAATGTTTAGCAATAAATAGAAAAGGAAAAAAAAACCTTATTCAGAAACAGTGTACATTAATTTTTTTTACCTTAATGTACATAACAAAGTCATAATAATTAATATGATATTTAGATTCCTTATATAACATTCCCTGTATGCCTGTATGTTGTCAATACAAACTGGTAACTGGAGTGGTTCTCATGTAGTGCTTTTCTACTCCTACCTACAACATGACTTAGTCACCCCTTCGCATCCAATCATAAAACCACTTTTTTTCCTATGCTTTCTAGCTAACAGTCACACACATCGACACTCTGATGGATGCATCAGAGAGCAACATGTGGTTCAGTATTTTGCCCAAGGATACTTTGGCAAGCAGTCTGGAGCAGCCAGGGATCAAAGCATGAACCTTACCAGTAGTAGATTAGTTCCATCGCCTGAGCTACAGCCAACCCTAACCCACCCACACAAGGAAATTAAGAAACATAGTTTTAAATAGCTCTATATCGCATTATGACTTTTCACCTTCATATCAATCTATTGTGAGGTCAGAGGTCAAATGTGTCACGATATTTAAAACTTCAATCACAGTTTCTATGTTATAGGGCTTTTTGTCATTTTTTGATTAACAAATAATCAAGTTGACCTTTCAACAGATGTTTAACATGAAACTGCTCTACACCCCTAAAAAGTTCAGTCAGAATTCATCCAAAACCTTTCGAGATGTCGCGTTTACAGACAGAATGACAAAATGACACGCACACGCACACACACACACACACACACACAAACGCTACCAGAAACATAACCTTCTTGGCAGAGGTAAGAAATGAGTTCAGTTTTTACCCTAGAGTTAGCTGGTAGTCCCAGTGTGATGGTGGGCAGGGTGGAGGGACTCTGGATGGTGAAGTTAGCTAGAGTACCATCTCTGAGCAGCAGTTTCTGGGCCTGAGAATACCAAACATAAACATGATGTAAAATTGAAATCCAACTGCAACTGTGCTGATGAGAATAAACTTTCCTAATCTACACCATATGTGAAAAAAACAAACAAACTGATTTTCACATTTTAAACCAAAGCTGGTATACTGTCTAACATTTTCTACTGTTAATAATGACTGAAAATGTTATTATTTAGAATAATTTCAGTCTGTTTTGAGCTACTCTATACCAGCATGGTCTAATGAAACCTAAGCTAATGTTTTGTCTCTAGCTGCCTCTACACTGGGAAATCATGAGTCAGACATTTGCAGCAGGTGTGACAGAGGTTGCTTTGTTTTGACTTTGATGATTAAATGAATTATGTATAAACAGCTGACAAACAGTGTTCCCATACTCTTATGGATTTAAACATATCATTACCCAGCATCTCAGCAGCAGCCAATGCATGGAAAACAACTTTTTAACCCTGCTCAAAATGCCTGTTTTACCATTTTACTAAAACAAGTTTTATTTATTTATCATTTAAAAAAAAAAAAAAAACAAAAAAAAACAAAACAACAAGTGTGAAAATAACTTAATATCATTACGTCAACTTAGATAGAGTTAATACAGTAAAACTGAGGACTCAACAGCACTGTGTGTGTGTGTTTCTTGTCAAACCTCATGTGAGAGGCCGCCTGCAGATGGCAGCAGTCCATTCTCATTAGGCAGACTGTCGTTAGGAGAGCTACAGCCAGAGACTGGAGTGCTGCTGCTGCTCGGGGACGAGTCTGCAGACAGACAGAAGGTGAGTTTGATATTTGACTATGAAGCTCGATTGTGTTTCAATCACATCACAGCAGATCAATCAAACAATCATGTACAAAACAAACAAACAACACAAAAAAACAAAAATGAACAAATGAAAACTGTTGCTCGCATCGTTAATAATTGAGAACAGCTTACGGCTACAATAATGCAGCACTCTTATGTATTGCTGCATTTGTGTGTCTGTAAGGTTACCCAGTGTATCAGGAACTCTGTGCTTGACAGTGGGTGGGGCACTGTCTTTGCGGGTGAGCGGACTCTTGCGGGTATTCAGGTGTTTCTTCAGCTTGTTTTTCACCTTCAGATTAGGCTCCGACGCTAGTGAATAAGAGATGAACAAAGGAATATTACTTCATGCTGTTTGCTGACTGTAAAAGCTGAAAATGAATCAATTTCCATGTAATGAAATCCCAAATGTTCACAATGTGTCATAACAGGAAAATGTTAGTGTTACCAAATACTTAATACACAGGAACTCTTACTCTCTGGACTGAGTAAAGATTATTCAGTAGTTTTTGATAGAAAGGTTGGACACAACCTTTCAAAATGTGTGTGTGTGTGTGTGTGTGTGTGTGTGTGTGTGTGTGTGTGTGTGTGTCTGTGTGTGTGTGTGTCTGTGTCTGTGCGTGCGTGATATATAATTTTTTTTTAAAAAGATTTTGATTCCTCCGGTTTTGGCATGAAGTCAGGAGCAGTGCAATATTTCTTCCCTTCTGAAAGAACTAACTGAAGTAAATATTTCACTTTGCTATTTGAATGAGAAATGACCAGGTTGTCTTCGGGTCTTTCACGTCATAACTCACTTTCACTTCCCTATAGTGTCAATTCATAGCTTCCGCCATGATATGTATTCGTCAGATTTCTCCTTAATAGGATTTTGCGTCAAATGTTTCACCTGCTCTGCGCAGCGGCGTGCCCTCTGGACCCTCAGGAGGGGGCTGCGTTGAAGAGGAAACAAGAGTGGGTATGCTAGGGTCAGGGCCCAGCTTTCTGCAAAAAACACAACATAACAACAATTACACATCAAACCATTCATGTAAACAGTGACGCAACACCTGGTACAGCTTTACTTCAAATTCACGATATAAAGTGCATTTAAAGAATAACACTATTATTATGATGTGACTGTGTTGTACACTTAGTGTTTTGTGTTCTGCTTGTTCACACATGCTGCGTTACCTGTATTGGACAGGAGGTGCAGTCAGAGAGTTAGCGTTTGTTCTTTCCAGCTCAGCCTTTTTCTGCTTCTTAAGAATCACCTCCTGGAGTTTCTGTTTCACTAAGGAACTTGCCACCGCGCCTGTCAATCAGCCACAGCAACCAATCAAATCCACAGAAACATTTACCAGCTGTATCAGCATGAAGGGAGGAGCAAGCCCTGCCTAAAGCACAGTGTTCACAGCTAGACATTATTTGCATAGTTGTGCAGGAAATAAATACATAAATAAAATGCAAATACTATACATGCATGTATGCTTCCGAGTGTCGATGCATTTGTGTGCAATGCACTGTGAAGTCACCGGTTAGGCCTGAGACTATGTTTGCTTCCATTCTTGTGTGTAAGTGTGCACACCGAGGTGGCAGCTGGTGCTAGGAGTGATCAAGTCAATATTGACCCAGGGACTTTATGTGCCTGGATGCAAAACTATATTTATCTCCACTTTTTCAGGTTATATTTAGATCTCACTTCAAAGAAAGCAGCTTTGCAATTGAAGAAACACTGTGTAACAAAGATGAAGATGATCTCTTGCAGGGACTTTCCTCTCTGGCCATGATTAGTACTCTGGGCCATAATTATTCTTAAATTTGTGGAAATGGTTTTATGAAAAGTGAAAAAAATAAATAAATATTAGCTGGAGTCTTGTAGAGACCTGTAGAGTAGCAAAGTTAGAGTTTAATTTCCAATTTTGTGTGTGGGTGTGTGGACTCACTCTGTTGACTCTTGTCTTTGTGCTTTAGCTGCTGCAACTCTTGTTGTTTCTCGTGATGTTCGTGCTCTCGCCTCCTTTGTTCCATATTAAACTACCCCACCAAACACATACACAGATTAGCAACATTTATAAAGCAAAAAGTCAGGTAAGACTGCAGTGTAACAAAATATATTGTACAAAAGTTTTCCCAAGAAGTCTTTTATGGTTTTACTAAGTTTTTTCCCCCTTACCCGGATTTGCTGGTGAAGCTGTTGTTGGGAGAAGGAGCTGCGAGGTTGTGGGGAGAATGGTGAAAGGTGTAAAGGCGGGTGCAGCGGGGTGAGGAGCACCGTGTCCGAACCAGGGCGCATCCCCCGCTCTCCCACCCTGAGATCCATGGGAAACAGCAAGGATGTGCGCGACACTGCCACTGCCACTGAGGAATCTGGGAAAAGGCAAGGATAAAGTGAAGAGAGAGAGACAGTTTGCTCAATCCTCAACGAGGAACAGTTGATGCTCTGTGGGAAGTGCTCCCTGAAAAAACAAACATTTAGGATTTCAAGGAGCACATGGGAGTCGCTATGAAGCAGGCTTTATATAAATTGCTTTACAATAAAAACGGAAAAGCACAAAATTATTTGGGCCTTCTAGATCTGTGCTTGAAATAGCTTTCAGGAACCTTGGAACAAATTACAACAGGATTTGAAACTACAGCAGTGAAAGCATGAAAGGCTCTTCAGCAACTACCTAAGCTGATGCCCAATGCAGTACACCAAGACCCAAAGTGAAGGAATAATAAGAAACTGACACAGGAATCAAGAAAGTTGGGTTTATGTAAACACAACAAGTAGAAACAGCATTCCTGAAGCATTTATGGCATCTGTGTAAGTCTTTCATTACCAACACTCACACGAGACACACACACACACACACACACACACACACACACACACACACGCTTTTTGCTGTTGGGATTATCTGCATCGCACAGCTGAGTCAATGGGAAAGATTGCCTCACCCAGTGCTAAAAACAAGATCCAGGGAGGGAACAGCTTGGGAACAGCTTGGGGGTGGGGGGTTTCCGTCCATGAGGCACACACAGACACAAATGTCTACACATGACTAAAAAAAATAAATTAATAAAATAATATACAGTGGCTCACACCAAAAAAGAGACAGAGCTGTAAGCACATATAGGTATTCAAATATATCTCACCACACATGTGGATAATGCTGCAGCAGGTGACACACATTCACCTGCATATGTCGGTTTATTTATTCACACATTTGAATAACCACCCACGCATAAACAAGCTTTCCGAAAGCAAGCAGACACACGTACGGTAAAAAACATTTACACACAATCACGAGCTGCACACAAAATAGGCTTGAGTAAATACCGATTGCACAAACCTGCCTAATGCTTAAACTTGCATCTGTGCACACACACGCGCACGCGTGCACGCACACACAGCACAATAAAATAACTTCATATGACATCATCTTGGGTGCCGCTCAGATGTTGGGCTGCAGAGTGTGAAGTAAATGTCACTCACAGCGTGGCCTGGCCTGATGCCAATAGCAGCACTTGAGTGGATATGGGTAAAAGGAAAATGAATAGACGCCACAGTCTCAGGGGAATTTGTAAAGTAATCGCCAAAATTAATCTTATTTGTATTCGTGCAAACAAAACGATCTGCTTCCAGTCTGAAAAACAAGACCACCTTACGAGCCAGGAGCCGGTGGTGGTCGGGTAAGTCAAACAGCTTTCACCAAGGAGACTGCAGCTCGAATCCCACACTATCATAAAAATAAATATTTTTACACTTAAGCTGCCTTTTCTCTCACTGTTTGGTTAGGTTTGAGAAAAGATTGTGGTTTAGGTTAAAAGAAGTCCTTTACCGCATGTCTGACAGCTACTACATTTTGTAGGTTACCTCAGTCACGAGTCCTAACAGAGGAGTTTAAAGAAAGAAAAAAAATACTCAATGTAGTCAGAAAACACACTTTCAGTTTCAAAATCTTGCTGCCCTTCATGAAATACAGGACCATTCATGTTTATGTGCACCACATAACGTCAAGCAAACTGCCTGAGGGGCAGAAACTCACATTTAAAAGCAGCCAATCCAGCCCCTTTAGATGGCCTTGGAAAATGTAAAAGATTTAAATAAAGGAGGGAAGATTTTTCTTTTTCTTGTTTTTTTTGTCTGAACTTTTAATTTCGTCCGAGCCAGAAGTCTGAAGTTTTACAACAAAACTATCTGGTTAAGCCAAGAAGCTGTGCTGATGCTTTTTTAAAGTTTATTACAGTGACCGCAGAATGACTGAAGATGGAAATTTAAAGCACCATGTTGACATTGTGTATCTCACGCTGATAATCATTCGCTTTGTAAATGGATGATTTATTCATTGTGAATAATTACATAATGTGCATGGACTTCTTCAGAAGGTGACTATTTTTACAATCTGCGACAAGGCTGGGCATGAACACAACAGTACAGAAGACAGATGATGTCAGTAGTGCTGTGTCTCCTAGAACAAACATTAAACCTCACCTACTGTATTAGATCGTCAGTACTCTTCCTCCATATTAGGCTACAAATGCAGAAAGACATCCCGAATGCCGGCCGTGGCTGGAATAATAGAAATCCCTTGGCAAACACACACATTCACAAAGACACAGGCGGCTATGCACACATATTTTCTTTAATGACAACACA